GAACGAATATGAGATGATGAAGCATGAATGAGAGTTTATTCCTTTCACTGCTTGTCGTAGATTATACAACTTGCCAATGAAAGTTCTAATATTAATTTTATTATTATTTATTTTTTTTATTTTTTTTTCCAGAACAATACAGTAGGAAGGGAAACGCTTCGAGTTGGCTTAGTAAATCTTAATCTATATTTGGTTATGGGATTTGGAAAGCCATTTAGAAAGATAAAAGAAAAGGGTATGTAAAAGTAGGTGAAATATAGGTATATTTTATGAATAATGTTGTATGCAACAATTAATGTACTAACTAGTATACTAACAAATGATGTGACGTAATTTTAGAAGTTTTGGGTATTTGTAATTTGATTAATGAGTGGAGTCAATAATCATAGCCCTGTATTCAGCTTCAGCACTAGATCTAGAAACGACCCCCTGCTTCTTACTACGCCATGTGACTAGATTTCCCCCTACAAAAGCACAATAACCAGATGTAGAGCGTCGGTCATCTATAGAGCCTGCCCAATCTGCATCTGTGAATGCTTCCAACCTCAAGTGACCATGATTAGAGAACAAAATTCCTTTTCCAGGGGCAGATTTAAGGTACCTCAAAATGCGATAGACTGCATCCAAATGAGGTACACGAGGATCATGCATAAACTGACTCACTATTCCAACTGCATAGGCAATATCTGGACGAGTATGAGAGAGATATATCAGTCTTCCCACAAGTCTTTGGTACCTTTCCTTCTCCACAAGCTCACCAATTCCACTACAAAGATGATGATTAGTCTCAATTGGTGAATCAGTTGGTCTGCAGCCCAACATGCCCGTTTCTTCAAGAAGATCTAGAATGTACTTCCTTTGAGAAATAAAGATGCCTTTGTCAGATCTAGCAACTTCAATCCCAAGGAAGTATCTTAATGGACCAAGTTCTTTTATCTCAAACTCCTTGGCTAACTGCATCTTGAGATGGGTCACCTCCTCCTCATCATTACCTGTCACAACTATGTCATCCACGTATACAATAAGCACTGTTACCTTATGTACATTGCGTTTGACAAACAAGGTGTGATCCGTATTGCTTTGCTGATACCCAAATCCTAGCATTGCCTTGAGGAATCTACCAAACCAGGCTCTAGGAGATTGTTTCAAACCGTACAAAGCCTTCTTTAATCTACAAACCTTTCCAACTGTAGACTGAGATGAGAATCCTGGAGGTACATCCATATATACCTCCTCCTCCAAATCCCCATGAAGAAAAGCATTCTTCACATCTAGTTGTTGTAGAGACCATCTCAAATTAGCCCTATAATCTCATTTTGATTGTTTGGTCATTATTGATTGAATTTTCTAATTTTTTTGATTTTTCGTCAAAATTGGGTGATTTTTCGAAAATCACTGTTTGACCCTCTTTTTTCTGGTTTTGTCCCTTCTTCTCCTATCCTTGGGAGCCGACTGGAACCCTAAGGGGGTTTGTTGTCCCTGGTTTGATGTATTTTGGCCCTATCTTGGATTTTTATCGCTGTTTAGATGCTCTGCTTCGGTTTTCTGACTTGTAGTTGATCTGGTTGCTCTGTTCTGGGCTTCTTTTGGACTGTTTTAGCCTTAAAAGGTGTTTGGTGTGCTGGTTGGGTGATTTGTGAACTTGTTTGATATCCGGCTTGTGTTTTTTGCACCCTCTTTTCTCATCTCATGGCTGACAGCTTGGGTCAGGACTCTAAGGGCAAGGAGGAGAGTGGACTGAGTCGTGGTCTGACTCTTGGTGATAGTCCTTCTCTCCAGATTAGTCCGGTCAAACTTAATGGTCTTAATTACTTGATTTGGTCCCGCTCCTGTAGTCTTGCGATTGCCGCCCGGCGTTTGACTGGCTATATTACTGGTAGTAGTTCCCAGCCACCTACTGAGGATAGTACTTTATCTGCTCAATGGATTTCTGAGAATGCTTTAGTTATAACTTGGCTCATCAATTCTATGGAGCCTACCATTAGTCGGACTTTTCTCTTGATGGATACTGCTCACAAGATCTGGATAGCTGCCTCTCAAATGTATTCTCAACAAGGGAATGATGCACAGGCCTATGAATTGCGTAAGACGATTAGGGGTTTGGATCAGAAGGATCGCTCTCTGGCAGTCTACTATGCTGAGTTGAGTGGTTTGTGGCAAGAGCTAGATTTCTACCAGAGTTTCCAGCCAGTTTGCTCCAAGGATGCCACTATGTTTCAGCAGGCTGTGGAGAAGGAGCGGGTGTATGACTTTCTTGCTGGTCTGAATTTGGAGTATGATCAGATACGGGTTCAGGTGTTGGGTCGCTCTCCGTTTCCTACATTGCGTGAGGCTTATGCCCTGGTTCAGCAAGAGGAGAGTCGTCGCAGTGCTATGGTGCATGCTCCTGTTCTGGATCGGTCAGCGATGGTTGTCGGCCCCAAGTCACGTGCTACTCCACCTTTTCTGCCTCCAGGTGGTGGTAAGGGTCCATTGGTTGATCGGGACCGGTTGAAGTGTGAGTATTGTGGGAAAGATAGACATGATAAAGAACACTGTTGGAAGTTGCATGGCCGCCCTACTCGAGGCCGTGGTCGTGGTGGTGGTGTTCGTCCTTAAGCACATGTTTCTGAGACTACTGCTAGTGCCTCGAATGATGCTAGTTCTCTTTCCCCGGATGAGCTTCACACTCTCAGACGTTTGATGGCTCGACTTGATTCTTCATCTGCCTTAGCTCCTTCCTCTTCTGCCTCTTCTAACTTTGCTCACACAGGTATTTCTGCTAGTGCCCTCAGTGTTTCTTCGTCGTCTCCTTGGATCATTGATTCCGGTGCTACCGATCACATGACGGGTACTTCTAGTTTTTTCCATTCTTATTCACCTAGTTCTGGGCGAGATAAGGTTAGAGTGGCTGATGGCACTTTATCTTCTATCTCCGGCAAGGGTTCTGTTCGTTGCACCTCTTTACTTTCGCTTTCATCTGTTCTTCATGTTCCTAATTTTTCAACTAACTTACTTTCTGTTAGTAGCCTTACTACTGCTCTCAATTGCTCTGTAACCTTTTTTCCGACTCATTGTGTCTTTCAGGAACTGGCTACGGGGAAAATGATTGGCAGTGGTAGAGCACAAAGTGGTCTGTACTTTCTGGATGCCATGCCTGCCTCACCTTTGTCCTCTCAGGCTCTGCAATGCTCTTCTGGCTCCTCCCTTCGTCTCCTTCATCAGTGGCATCGCCGTTTGGGGCATCCTTCCTTTAGCATTTTAGAGAAACTTTTTCCTTTATTAGTTCGTGATTGTCCTAGGAATAACTTTGTTTGTGATGCTTGTGAGCTTGCTAAGCATAAACGTACTTGTTATCCTTCAATTAATAAAAGAAGTACTTTTCCTTTTATGCTTATTCATACCGATGTGTGGGGTCCTTCCCCTGTTGTTTCTACCTCTGGTTATCGATGGTTTGTCACATTCATTGATTGTTATTCCCGTGTGACTTGGCTTTATTTACTTCGCACAAAAAATGAAGTTTTCTCATGCTTCAAAAGTTTTCATAAAATGGTATCCAATCTCTTCAATGCTACTATCAAAATTCTTAGGAGTGACAATGGGACTGAGTATGTTGATGGCGCTTTCCGGGCATACCTCGACGACCATGGCATTCTTTATCAGACTAGTTGTGTTGGCACTCCTGAACAGAATGGAGTTGCTGAACGTAAGAATGGCCATCTACTTGAGGTTGCTCGCTCTCTCTTGTTTACCATGAACGTTCCTAAGTCCTTTTGGGGGGATGCGGTTCTTACCGCGGCTTATCTTATTAACCGTATGCCCTCTAGTGTCCTCCACTTCCAAATTCCTCTTGAGCTTCTTCCTGTGACGTATCCCACTTCTTCTCTTCCGCCTCGGGTTTTTGGTAGTGTCTGTTTTGTTCATCTTCACCCTCGGCCTCGTGGGAAGCTTGATCCTAAGGCTGTCCGGTGTGTCTTTCTTGGTTATTCTGCTACTCAGAAAGGCTACAAATGCTATGACCCTCACTCTCATAGGTTGTATGTTAGTATGGATGTCACCTTCCGTGAATCTGAGTCTTTTTTTCCTGGTCCTCCGCCATCTCCTCAGGGGGAGCGTGGTATCGATGAGATTGCGGATGAGACGGCATCATATCAGCATGAGTTGTCTTTTTTCCCTCCTCCTCAACGGGCTGTTATTTGTGGTGAGGGGGAGCCTAGGAGTTCTGTTGATGAGGAGTCGGATATCGGTGGTCGTTTGGACAGAGCTGATCTTAAGACTTATTCACGGCGTCAGAAAGAGCCGGCTTCTCTTGTGCCACCAAGTCAATCATCATCTCCTATGCCAGTTCCACACCCAGTTTCCACTAACTCTTCAGGTAATAATCCTCATCTCATTTCTTTACCTGTTGTTGATGGTCCTATTACGGATGATTTGAGTCTTCCTATTGCTCTCAGAAAGGGGGTTAGAGCTTGTACTCAACACCCTATTTCTAAATTTGTGTCATATGATTCGTTGTCTTCTACGTATCGTGCTTTTGTTTCGTCCCTTTCTTCTGTGTGTATTCCGCAGGGTTGGAAAGAAGCCATCAATGATCCTAAGTGGAAGGTAGCTATGGTAGAAGAGATGCAAGCTTTGAGTAAAAATAACACATGGGAGTTGGTGTCTCTTCCAAATGGGAAACACCCAGTCGGATGTAAGTGGGTGTTCACCATTAAGCACAATGCAGATGGGACGATTGAACGGTACAAAGCAAGACTAGTGGCCAAGGGATTTACCCAAACATATGGAATAGATTATCAAGAAACTTTTGCCCCGGTAGCAAAGATGAATTCCATTCGAGCTATTCTGTCATGTGCGGCTAATTTGGGATGGTCTCTACAACAACTAGATGTGAAGAATGCTTTTCTTCATGGGGATTTGGAGGAGGAGGTATATATGGATGTACCTCCAGGATTCTCATCTCAGTCTACAGTTGGAAAGGTTTGTAGATTAAAGAAGGCTTTGTACGGTTTGAAACAATCTCCTAGAGCCTGGTTTGGTAGATTCCTCAAGGCAATGCTGGGATTTGGGTATCAGCAAAGCAATGCGGATCACACCTTGTTTGTCAAACGCAATGTACATAAGGTAACAGTGCTTATTGTATACGTGGATGACATAGTTGTGACAGGTAATGATGAGGAGGAGGTGACCCATCTCAAGATGCAGTTAGCCAAGGAGTTTGAGATAAAAGAACTTGGTCCATTAAGATACTTCCTTGGGATTGAAGTTGCTAGATCTGACAAAGGCATCTTTATTTCTCAAAGGAAGTACATTCTAGATCTTCTTGAAGAAACGGGCATGTTGGGCTGCAGACCAACTGATTCACCAATTGAGACTAATCATCATCTTTGTAGTGGAATTGGTGAGCTTGTGGAGAAGGAAAGGTACCAAAGACTTGTGGGAAGACTGATATATCTCTCTCATACTCGTCCAGATATTGCCTATGCAGTTGGAATAGTTAGTCAGTTTATGCATGATCCTCGTGTACCTCATTTGGATGCAGTCTATCGCATTTTGAGGTACCTTAAATCTGCCCCTGGAAAAGGAATTTTGTTCTCTAATCATGGTCACTTGAGGTTGGAAGCATTCACAGATGCAGATTGGGCAGGCTCTATAGATGACCGACGCTCTACATCTGGTTATTGTGCTTTTGTAGGGGGAAATCTAGTTACATGGCGTAGTAAGAAGCAGGGGGTCGTTTCTAGATCTAGTGCTGAAGCTGAATACAGGGCTATGGCACATGGAACATGTGAACTAATGTGGCTTCAATCTTTGTTGAGTGATATAGGGCTTGATTGGAGTGGTCCCATGACTTTGTATTGCGACAACAAGGCTGCTATTAGTATTGCACACAATCCTGTTCAACATGACCGGACTAAGCATATTGAGATTGACAGACATTTCATTAAGGAGAAATTGAATAAGGGTGTGATATGTATGCCTTTTGTTAAGTCTGAAGATCAACTGGCGGATGTTTTTACTAAGGGTCTTAGTAGTAAAGTCTTTCACTCTATTTGTTGCAAGTTGGGCATGAGAAACATCTTTGCACCAACTTGAGGGGGAGTGTTAAGTGTTAGGGGTAGTTTGGTCTTTATGTATTATTCTTATTAGTATAAATAGTTGTGTGTAAGGGAAAAACCCTAAGTTTTGAATCAATAATCTACAGAAGCTTTCTCTTGTTCTATTCCTTCTTCTTCTTCTTCTTCTTCTTCTTCTTCTCATCTATACATTTAACAGTATTTTCTTGTTTCTTTATCTTAGGGAACAATGTACGTTCTT